CCGAACAAGTCTATGTGGGTGGGGACGAGGACAGGTTGACGAGTTTAGCAGTTACCAGGGAGGATGTTCTTAAACAAATAGTAAAACTCAAACCAAACAAATCCCCAGGGCCGGATGAAGTGTTTGCCAGGGTGCTTAAAGAATGCAAAGAGGAGCTTTGTGACCCACTGTCAACCATATTTAATAAATCAATAGAGTCAGGCAGAGTGCCAGAGTTTTGGAAAGTTGCTAATGTGATACCAGTTTTTAAGAAAGGAGATAGATCACTTGCGTCTAACTATCGACCAATTAGCCTAACGTCTATTGTGGGAAAGTTACTCGAATCTATAATAGCAAATAAAATTCGTCTTCATCTTGAAAAACATAAATTAATAATTGAGTCGCAACATGGTTTTATAAATGGCCGTTCATGTTTAACAAATTTGTTATCTTTTTATTCTAGCATTGTTGAGGCAGTTGATAGTGGTAAGGATTGCGATGTTGTATACCTTGACTTTAGCAAAGCTTTTGATACAGTGCCACATGAAAGACTGATTAAAAAAATAGAGTCTCATGGTATTGGGGGTGCTATATTAAGCTGGATTAGGGCATGGCTATACCAAAGGAAACAGAGAGTTAGTATAAATGGAATCAAGTCAGAGTGGGAAAATGTTGTAAGTGGAGTGCCTCAAGGCTCTGTCCTGGGACCTCTGTTGTTTATAATATATATAAATGATTTTGATTCAGGTTTGAGTAGCAACATTTGCAAATTTGCCGATGATACGAAAATCGGTAGGGAAATTAATTCGGAGGAGGACTCACTATCACTTCAAGTTGATCTAGATAGGGTTTTGAAATGGTCAAAGGATTGGCAGATGCAGTTTAATGCTGATAAATGTAAAGTTCTGAGGTTAGGTAATGATGATAGAGTTACAAGATACGAGCTAGATGGTGTTGTGATTGCGAAGTCGGATTGCGAAAGGGATCTGGGAGTTATGATTAGTAAGAATTTAAAACAAAAGGATCAATGCATAAATGTTCGTAATAAGGCAAATCGGACACTTGGATTTATTAATCGCAGCGTTAGTAACAAGACACCTGGTGTGGTTCTCAAGCTATATCTTGCTCTAGTTAGGCCCCATTTAGATTATGCAGTTCAGTTTTGGTCGCCATATTATAGAATGGATATAAATTCACTTGAACGTGTCCAGCGTAGGATGACTAAGTTAATTCCCCAAATTAGAAATCTTTCATATGAAGAAAGATTAACAAAGCTTAAGTTGCATTCACTGGAAAGGCGAAGAGTTAGGGGTGACATGATAGAGGTTTACAAGTGGATGAATGGACATAACCGGGGGGATATTAATAGGGTATTAAAAGTATCAACACAGGACAGAACACGAAACAATGGATATAAATTGGATAAGTTTAGATTTAGGAAAGACTTGGGTAAATACTGGTTCAGTAATAGGGTTGTTGATTTGTGGAACCAATTGCCGCGTAACATTGTGGAGGTGGGGTCCCTCGATTGTTTCAAGCACGGGTTGGACAAGTATATGAGTGGGATTGGGTGGTTATAGAATAGGAGCTGCCTCGTATGGGCCAATAGGCCTTCTGCAGTTACCTTTGTTCTTATGTTCTTATGTTCTTACGTGTACGATTTTCATGCTTCCGAATGATCTTTTGTTTTTCCTCTATTGTCATCCTCACATGCGCTTACTTGCCTTGATCCTTACCACTGGCTTTCTTGGGACCCATGGTGAGATATATAACAACAACTTTTATGGTCAAATGACCAAAAAACCAACAAAACACTGAAAATCCTGGTGAAGAATTGAGGCGGGATAGTCACTGGGCGTGAGGCACTGGTAAACTGAGGGGCGATCGCCGTACCACCATGTGCTAGGTCGGCCTGTACGCGTATCAACACCCTCGCCTTCCGAAGCAAATTTTCCGAGCAAATCCTGCTCGTATTCCGAAAAACTCGTATATAGGGACACTCGTATTCCGAGGTACCACTGTATAAAGTTTTGCTTAGTCTTATTATTAACACTTTCCTGGATTTTCGACTTGGACTTACGGGCGGTTTCCCTAACCGCTTGTCGGATCACGACGTAAATTTACGGACCGTGTTTTATATTGGGTATTTACTACTAGATCGACTTGGGGTTTGTATGAATATGTTTGCCATTAAATTTTTGTTTTCTCTAATAGGCACTGTGCCTATTTGAGAAAACGGCAATGTATTGTAACTTAGAGGAGAGACTATTGAATTGGTGTCACAACGAGGGTAATCGCGCACTCCACACACTCTTGTGTTGGCCGCGATCATGATTCTACATTTATATGCATATGTCTGTGTAGAGAATTTTATTCCGAACACTATACAAACAAAAAAAACGTAGTGAATCAAGTATAAACTTGAAAAAACATGAGCAAAGTAAAAACCTTTTACGCTCATAGGTACAAACACGCGTAAGATTTGAGTAAGATTTTGACGCTTATTTGACGCTCTGTTGGCTAATTCTACCCACGTTCTTATAGAACTTTCTATTGCGAACACATTGCTATAAATATGAAATACGTAGCTCGAGAAATAATGTCATGACAGTGAAATAAGTATAAACTTTCAAAGCGCTGCATCACAACAGTGTCGTCGCTGCTGAAATCACGGCTAACGCTTCGCCCAGTTCCCACACTCGTGCAGAACATAATTAGACATTGATAGGCATATGTCTGGGTGGGGAATTTTATTGCGAGTTCAGTGATATCAAAATAAGCGCTGTAGGATGACTGTGAGGCTGGCAACAAACGAAAGAGTATGAACATTTACTTCCTGTTTGGGTGTCACAGCGAGTCATCTTCGTGTTTATTTACTTCGTGGTGGGATAGCAAATGCTTGGGTGACATTTTATGCATATGATCCTGAAGAGAATTTTATTGCCAACGCATTGATACCAAAATGAAAAACGTAGCTCGAGAATTGATGTTAGGAGCATGAAAAGATGATAAACTTTTTTGTGTTCACGCTTGAGCGCCCAGAACGCCGCGCGCACAACCCGCTTTTTTTTTCAGGGAGTGCCGCGCGCACTAAAGTGTTAAGTATAAACATTGTAAGTGAGAGTTTAACATTGGGTTGTGTGCTCACTGGCAATGCTCGACCTACCTTTCCAGTAGTAGGTGACCCGCCAGGAGTGCAAAAGTGTTAATCATTAAGAAAGCATAGTTGCTGGGTTTTTTTCTGCTTGCACATAGGATGATGTTTGTTTCTGTTGCCAACTGTTGGTAGCATTTTCTGGGTCCATGGATTTGTTTTGAAAGTCAGAGGACCAGGCAGAACATTTTGTGATTTGAAAACATGTTCTTGTCAGGTGAACTCTGGCTCTTTATAGAATTCTAGAGCATATTTTCAGCTGTTGATGGCTATCACCTAACACAGCTAAAGGGTTAAGATGATTTGCAGTCCCCAAAGAAAAAATTAAATATATAAAAGAATTTTTTATTTCAAAAGCTGTTTCATTGTGTGTGTAAGGAACCTGATGTATCACTGTTCTCACTGAGAAAATTTGCGGGAGCTATGAGGAGGATTCGAACCTATGCGGTGTATATTCCCAGGCACACGATGTGAATATTGTGTGCTTGGGAATATCCAGTACTCACCTAATTGTACTCACTTAATTGTGCTTGCGGGGGTTGAGCTTTGGCTCTTTGGTCCCCCCTCTTAACTGTCAATCAACTGGTGTACAGATTTCTGAGCCTATTGGGCTCTATCATATCTACATTTGAAACTGTGTATGGAGTCAGCCTCCACAACATCACTTCCTAGTGCATTCCATTTATTAACTACTGACACTGAAAAATTTTTCTAACGTCTCTGTGGCTCATCTGGGTACTAAGTTTCCACCTGTGTCCCCTTGTTCGTATCCCTCCCGTGCTGAAGAGTTTGTCTTTGTCCACCTTGTCAATTCCCCTGAGAATTTTGTTAGTGGTTATCATGTCTCCCCTTACTCTTCTGTTTTCCAGGGATGTGAGGTTCAGCTCCTTTAGCCTTTCCTCATAGCTTATTCCTCTCAGTTCCGGGACGAACCTGGAGGCATACTGCTGGATCTTCTCTAACTTTGTCTTGTATTTAACTAAGTATGGACTCCAGGCTGGAGCTGCATACTCCAGGATTGGTCTTACATAAACGATATACAGGGTCCTGAACGATTCCTTACACAAGTTTCTAAAGGCAGTTCTTATGTTGGCCAATCTAGCATATGCCGCTGATGATATCCTTTTGATGTGGGCCTCTGGGTACAGGTTCAGTATGATATTGACCCCCAGATCTTTCTCTCTATTTGACTCTTGCAGGATTTCACCTCCCAGATGATACCTTGTGTTCAGCCTCCTGTTCCCTTCGCCTAATTTCATTGCCTTACACTTTCCTGAATTAAACTTTAGCAGCCATTTTCTAGACCATTCCTCCAGTTTGACCAGGTCATCCTGTAGTCTCTGTCTATCACTTTGTCTTGATTCTTCTCGTAATACTTGCATCATCAGCAAACATTGAGAGGAATGAGTCTATACCCTCCGGAAGATCGTTTAGTGCATAGGTTCGAATACTCATCATGGCTCCTACAGATTTTCTCATTGATACATCACCCTAGTGTGATTTCTCTGTGTAGTGAAGAGGAGCATCAGAGGTAGAACATTCTTACACAACAGCCAGAGTGCATGGGGGGATTGTGAAATCCCTGCTTTGGCTTCAGTGGAATCCTTGGAATGCTTGTGGGTTCAGTAGAATCCCAGGTTGCAAGCCTTTTGCCATGTTGTGGTCTGGTTGTCTGGTGTGTGCCTGGGAATATCCAGCTCATAGGTTCGAATCCTCATCATGGCTCCTACGAATTTCCTCATTGATACATCATGTTTGTGTGATTTCCGTCTGTGCTGTTCTCACTGTTGGAAACTATACTTGATTTTTAGGTTATTATGAAGCAATATTCTGTCTGTAAAGTTTATAATTGTCATTTACCACACAGGTTCTAGGTGCTCAGATCGATAGTCAGGTGACAACATCATATGTTTTGAGTGATGATGACAAAATTATTCGAAAAGCTACATCTTTGGAAACTCATTTCTTAAGAGTGAAAGCTCGCAAGCAGTCAGGAGCAGAGGTTATGAGCAAGCAGGTACTCCATCTCAAAAGTAAGTTAGTTTTTGTTCTGTGTATTGCTGTGCTAAGCTTCTTCATTCTATCTTGATCATATTTATGTTGACAGCTGCCAAGAAGAGATTAGCCTTCATTACTAGATGTTATTTCACCTGTATTAATCACTCGCATTCTTAGTGCGTATTTAAAACTAATCTGTAATAATTGTTCTGATGTGAATTAATTACATGTCTGGATATTTTTCCACAGGTCGAGATAAAATTAACACCCCAAAGTACACAGGACAAACAGTTGCAGAGGCTGTTCAATCAATTTCCTCAAAGCTTAAGAAAAAACTTATTACTGATCAGTTAGCAACGAACCCTGACCCAAAGGAGTGCATTGCATGCAAGTCGGTAAGAGCAATGTTAGGAATGTTTATGGCATTCCATATATAAATATTATTTTTCTCTAAATTTTGCTAGATCAATGCTGTCTTGAATTAATAGGGACAGAAGTTTAGCCATGCATCACTCTTCTGGCCTGTTAAGACCTTCTAACTTTTAAGGCCTCTAACAGTCTTATTCCCATAATAGGAAAAGCTATCATGTTCCAATGCTCATTTTTCTGCATACAAACATCTTATGGGCCCCTCAGGAATGGAACTTGTATTGTAATATGAATTAACCCCTTTCACTTAAGTCAAATATGAGCCCTAAGTACCATGAAACCAAAATGGTAGAGTTTTGTGGGAATTTGAATTACTGTGAAAAGGCTTTGTTGTGCTGTTCACACTCTTTCAAAAGCTCTGTAAAAAAAAAAAGCATTAAATGTAATGAAATGGCAGTTTCTGGGTGAGCCCTAGAGGCTCCAAAAAAAAAGCAGTAAATGTAATGAAATGGCAGTTTCTGTTAAGATTAATTAAAGTTAAATGGCAGTTAAAGTTCATCGTCTTTTCCATCACCCAGAAAGGTACACGAATCCGAACAGACCACAACATTGTTGAAAAACGAGACTGCTGCCCTCAGAATGCAAAAGAACAATAAAACAAACAACCAAAACTTTGTCAAACCATCCCCCTGCTAGTTAGCTTCCCCTTTATCTTGTTAGGGAAAGGAGGGAGTCGGCCCGGGCAGACACCAGTCAGTTCTCTAATGATTAAAAAGCTGCTTACCTGAGGAAGCGAGGGGTGTCAGGGAGGCTCCGGGGCTCACCCAGAAACTGGCATTTCATTACATTCAAAGCTGATTTTCTTAGGGGAGCCCTGTTTGCTCTTTGAAGCTATCTACCTGCAGAGAAGGACAAAATAGGGGACTTACCAGGGAGATGGAAGCACCACAGGTATCAGGTTGAAGGCAAGACCGACTGCTGTGACAGACACCCAAGGACAACTCAAGGCTGCAGAGGATCAGGGACATTAACAAGACACCTGACCTCCAAAACCTCTGTGCTCAAATTTTGGCCAAAATTTGTTACCAAAATCGGCCAGCAAAGCGACGTACTTCCGAACCTCATGAGCACGAGGGTAGACTGCAGACTGGCTAGCTTTGATGACACTGCGGACAACTTGAGACACGAGCCCTGGAACAGGAAACTAGGGAAACTGTATGAACCCACAACACATCCACCGAAACAGAACTGGTGGCTTAAGGGTAGCGGTGTAAAGCTGCCACTGGACACAGTGCATAATGCACTCCCAGCTGATCTAACCAAGCATCCACAACCAAAGGGACCCCTCTGGAAGCTCGCCCTGTCATTCTTCGCCAGAAAAGGAGGAGCAGGCTGCAACTCAACAAAAAAACCACCAGGACCAAATGAACAACACCCTCGTGCACAGGAGCAGAGCATGAAGCTCACCCATCCAACAACCAGAGGGCTTCTTCAAACTTAGAAAAAGGAACGACATCGACGGTCCACTCTGTGGAAAAGAGGAATGATGTGAGAGACCATCGGCCAAAACATTGGACACACAATGACCTCCCCAAAAGGAGGAAGGCTGATGCCACCAAAGACTAGGAAATGACAAGAAAAGCCCACAAATCGCATAGGACCAGGTGTGGGCAAAAAGAGCCAGCCTTCCCCCCCACATCTTCCACCCGTGAAAGGGCTGACATGAACCCCGAGAGCCTACCCTCTGTGCTGAGCGAACAAAGTGGCCAACATCGGGTCTGGCACCGTTCGGTGCCAGACTGGTCCGTTCAGTGCCAGACCAGAAGAAGATGGCACCAGTCACCACCGACTTATGTCGGTTTACCATACTGTCATACTGTCATAAAAACCATAACCATTTATTACCATATATATTACCATATACTAATTATAGATTACCATAAAACCATACTGTCGAAAAGACAGTATGGTTTTCGATCTGGAAGATCCTGTGTATCGAATTTACTCAGTTTCTATGATCGAGCCACAGAGATATTACAGGAAAGAGATGGTTGGGTTGACTGCATCTATCTGGACCTAAAAAAGGCTTTTGACAGAGTTCCACATAAGAGGTTGTTCTGGAAACTGGAAAATATTGGAGGGGTGACAGGTAAGCTTCTATCATGGATGAAAATTTTCTGACTGATAGAAAAATGAGGGCAGTAATCAGAGGCAATGTATCGGAATGGAGAAATGTCACAAGTGGAGTACCACAGGGTTCAGTTCTTGCACCAGTGATGTTTATTGTGTACATAAATGATCTACCAGTTGGTATACAGAATTATATGAACATGTTTGCTGATGATGCTAAGATAATAGGAAGGATAAGAAATTTAGATGATTGTCATGCCCTTCAAGAAGACCTGGACAAAATAAGTAGATGGAGCACCACTTAGCAAATGGAATTTAATGTTAATAAATGTCATGTTATGGAATGTGGAATAGGAGAACATAGACCCCACACAACCTATATATTATGTGAGAAATCTTTAAAGAATTCTGATAAAGAAAGAGATCTAGGGGTGGTTCTAGATAGAAAACTATCACCTGAGGACCACATAAAGAATATTGTGCAAGGAGCCTATGCTATGCTTTCTAACTTCAGAATTGCATTTAAATACATGGATGGCGATATACTAAAAAAATTGTTCATGACTTTTGTTAGGCCAAGGCTAGAATATGCAGCTGTTGTGTGGTGCCCATATCTTAAGAAGCACATCAACAAACTGGAAAGGTGCAAAGACATGCTACTAAGTGGCTCCCAGAACTGAAGGGTAAGAGCTACGAGGAGAGGTTAGAAGCATTAAACATGCCAAAACTAGAAGACAGAAGAAAAAGAGGTGATATGATCACTACATACAAAATAGTAACAGGAATTGATAAAATCGACAGGGAAGATTTCCTGAGACCTGGCACTTCAAGAACAAGAGGTCATAGATTTAAACTAGCTAAACACAGTTGCCGAAGAAATATAAGAAAATTCACCTTCGCAAATAGAGTGGTAGATGGTTGGAACAAGTTAAGTGAGAAGGTGGTGGAGGCCAAGACCGTCAGTAGTTTCAAAGCGTTATATGACAGAGTGCTGGGAAGACGGGACACTGTAACACGGGTTCGGGTTCCTCTCTCTTTACTTCCTTCTTTCTACTCCCTCTACCCGTATTCTTACTTTTATTTCTAAACCAAGGGACTCCAAAACTTTTACCAAAGCCTACTCCACGCCACGTGGTCCTAAGACGATTGACCGACTTAGGATTCTACACCCAGTATGACGTGACCTAAGCTCTGAACAAAACCCTAGAGTCACCTCTGCTGCCACCACCAGACCAGTAATACAAGAGCAATGATCGAGGTCTGGATCGATCACGCTAATTAATCAACCTAGGGGCTTGATCCCCACTATAAACGATGACCTTGAGTGTGGAATAAATTACACGGTAATGATAATTCCGATTCGATGTTAGAATCGGCGCCCAATGCAACTCTGCCTCGTGTGGACCACGTGACCAGGACAAGTATACACATAAAACACATGGAAACAATAAAATGCAAATTAATAACAAATTTAATTTATTAAAAGAAAACTAGAACAAAATCTAAATGTGTTCACTCCCTATCAATTTAACACTCCCTACTTGACCTGAGTGGCAAATGAGACTATTTCTATACTTAACAATAGCAACTATACCTTGGGCGACCACAGTTCTAGGTGTTGGGCCTGTTCTTGGGGAGAGGTAAGATGTTGACCTCTTATCCCAGCTGCTTCCGTGACCACACTGATTTCTTCCTTGTCTGGTCTACCCCAGACAGAGTATTGTATCCTTCCGCCTAGTCAGTCAAAGTTCTACCAAGTTACTAGCCAGGTTTAAGTTATAACAATTAACCTCTGTTGTACTTAATTGATCCAGACTGGTTGAATTATTTTACTGAATTAAATTACAAACATCTAACGGCAGAGCTGTTCCCGATCACAAAAATGGTTATTAAAACTTTGAGAAATATTAGACATGTCAACCCTGCTGACCTATGACCGCCAGTCACTCCGCCTTAAAAGTTAGATCTGATTCGTGACGTCACTGATGGTGACTTAAACTCAATAATTAGAATACTCTTGATATTGTATCCAGTACTATTATACAATACAATTTTAATGCAAAATGAATAAAGGCTAATTTTCTCTAAATTACTGAATACTATAGGATGATTCATTATACGCAGATATGAACAAAGCGTCGGTTATTTCCACCGCGAATTCCCCTGGGGGTCAGGTCACCATGCGGCTCAGCTTCCCATTCTCTTTTGTCGATAAACCACTCTGGATAATTCTTACAACAGCCTAGTCTGTTACAACCCCCCCCGCACAAGCACTTAGTAAACCTTGTTAATTTGTTAAAATTCACGAGGTTTAGTATCCAAACCCACAATTCAACTCATGCCACAAACAAAAGCTAACCTAACTAATAAAATTCGACAAATAATAGTCCAACATCATAATGAACATGTTCATATTTCATAAATTTCTCAGCTGTCAACTGACAGCAATCCTCTAATATCAGGAAACATACATCCTATCCTTACTGACATAGCTAAATAACATGTCCCTACTCTACCATCAAAACTAGCTATTAAACTCTCTTGGCTCTTCACTAGCCAAGTCCATGTGTCCTCTAGAGCCGGCCACACCGTGCTCAAACATAACATTAAAGTTATATCATCAGACTGAACTTTCAGTCATCCGGGAGCGTACTACGGAACTATCAGGTACACATCCGTGTACTACCCACTCCCCATCAATGTCAACCTTGACATGTTAAGGAACACACCTAACGTTTATTACATGTATCTAAAAATATAAAAAAAAATTCCTATACTATATCACAGGTTTCAGCTGACTGTACAGCCAAGTGTTC